AATAATAATAATTATTTGCAACAACTGATGGAGTACTGAATGCTGCACGCACGCGCAGCGTTGTCAAGGTAACATTTGGTCAGTCATTACCTTAGTCAAGGGAGTTCCAAATGCCCTACAGCCTTCAAAGAACACACTTCAAGGGCTCTGCCCTTCGGGAGAAGGGCATAGGGATGCTCACTTCCATTTGGAATTCGCCCAAAGGTAATTGCGACTTTTTATCTCACAATTCTTGCCCTTTTCTCGTAATTCAGACATAAGACATAACTCAGAATTCTGCTTTTTTTTCTTACAATTCCGAGTTTATATCTCGCAATTCAGCGGGGGTTTTTTTTTTTTGAGAATTTTTTTGAGCAGAGCAGACCCAAACTCCCGCAGACCCAATCGCAAGATCACAATCATGACACTAATAACTAATAGAAAAACGAACACATGGACATACATCAGCATGCTAAGAACTACCTAAAATGACACTAAATGTCTCTGGAAATAAATGTGGATCCAACCCCGCCTCCTGGATCTTTGTTCTGCAGTGAGGGGCTACTGGGTTTATGACCGATCGAGACGCTTTGGCTTCACTTTTCAGGACTCGTACGGCACGCTTAAAGGGTTACTCCACCCCAAAATTAAAATTTTGTCATTAATCACTTACGCGTCACAAGGATACTTTTTCTACGCTTTGATTTGAACGAAAACAGCGTATCCTAGTGGTGCAGCTGACACAGAACAACGTACGCTATTTGTGTCCAGCGGATATTCTCCAAAATGGCGCTACGCTGACGTAGAGGAGACGAATTGTTGAATAAAGTCGTTGTTTTTGTTTTCTTTGCACAGAAAAAGTGTTCTCGTCGCTTCATTAAATTCAGATTGAACCACTGATGGCAGATGGACTACGTCTTTCATACTTTTCTGGGCCTTGACAGTGTTATTTACTTGACAGTCAATGGGACAGTCACAAGCCTCCCGGTTTTCATCCAAAATATCTTAAATTGTGTTCTGAAGACGAACTAAGCTTTTACGGGTTTGGAATGATTAATTACAGTGATTAATGACAAAATTTTCATTTTGGGGTGGAGTAACCCTTTAATTCACCTTCATGTTGTTCCAAACGAAGCTATGAAAATACTTTTTGTGCGCAAAGAAAAAAATTATTCTCTTCTGTGTCAGTGTCCGCTGCCATTCACGAGAGTGCCACGACTGCACCCTGCAGTTTTCTGTAAAATACAATGATATAATAATTATTATATTTATTCTTAAATACTCTGATTTGTATATTATAGTGAAACAGTGTTATTACAATATTTCTTATTTTGTTTATTGTTTTTATATAGTAATAATATTAGAACATTAATGTCCCATTTAAGTGATGAACTGCAATGAACTGAAGAGAAAATAATAGTTGAATTTCTGAAAATGACCCTGTTCAAAAGTTTACATACGCTTGATTCTTAATACTGTATTGTTACCTGGATGATCCACAGCTGTTTTATTTGTTGTGATAGTTGTTCATTAGTCCCTTGTTTGTCCTGAACAGTTCAACTGCCTGTTGTTCTTCAGAAAAGTCCTTCAGGTCCCACAAATTCTTTGGTTTTCCAGCATCTTTTGCATATTTGAACCCTTTCCAACAATGACAGTATGATTTTGAGATCCATTTTTTCACTCTGAGGACAACTGAGGGACTCATACGCAACTATTACAGAAGGTTCATTAAGGTTATTAAAATGAACTAAAACTATTAAAAACATTTTCTTGATTAACGTGAACTGAAGTAAAATATTTGTTTAAAAAAATCTTATTTTATTTCAGTTTGCAAGGCAACATTTCTCATTTTCATTTATTTTTAAGTTGTTAAGTACTAAAACAAATAAAAATGAAAAAAAAAAAGTAAAAAAAAAAACAAACATAAAAAAATATGAAATTCTCTAGTTTCTGAAGGGTAGTACTAAAATGAAAAAAAAAAAAAAAAATAAAAAAGTACACATCCTCATTCTGTTCAAAAGTTTACACCCCTGGCTATTAATACATTGTTTTTCTCTTTTCTCAGGTGCCAAGTCCCTTAACTCTTCCAACCCAAGCAATACCCCTGCTTCAGAAGGATACTTATTGAGCTAGAAGATATAGTCCTTGACAAAATGCAATGCAGTAAAAATAATGATCTGCTATCAGAGCTGCACAGGGATTTGATGAACAGGTGTTTCGCGCCATGAGCGGAAGTCATGACATAGAACCAGAACTATCTGTTTTAAATGGTGAGTATAAACTGTTTCATAAAATG